ACACACACCCCAGCGGAGTGCCCCACCGCGCCACCCTCACCCCCCCGCAGAGCGCCGCTGCTGAATCCCACCCCCCCAGCGCCCCCCGCACGCCCAGCTGCCGAAACCAAAAACCCTGAGCACCCCCTGCCACCCCAAGATTGGCCACCCCTTACCAGGTACCTCCCCAAGCACGTGCTTGGTCGGCTGGTACCTGGAGCCTGCCCTGATTGATAAACCCAGAGTAAGTGATTAATACCTGGGGGAGCAAACAGCTTTGTATATCTCTCTATCAGTGTTATAGAGGGCGGACAATTTATGAGTTTATCCAGTATACGCTTTATACAGAGTAAAACGGATTTATTTGGGGTTTGGATCCCATTGGGAATTGGGTGTCTGGGTGCTGGAGGCAGGGAACCTGCTTAGCTGTATTCAGTTAAGTCTGCAGCTTTGGGGGCGTGGACCAGACCCTGGGTCTGTGTTGCAGCAGGCTAGCGTGTCTGGCTCAACAAGGCAGGGTTCTGGAGTCCCAAACTGGCATGGATAATGGGCTCAGGGGTAACTTCAGCACATCAGGTGACAGTCCCAAGGGGGTCTCTGTGACCGAACCCGTCACACCCTCAGCCTCTCCTCATAAGTCATGTGCCCCAGCCCCCTGATCATTTTCGTTGCCCTCTGCTGGACTCTCTCCAATTTGTCCACATCCTTCTTGTAGTGTGGGGCCCAAAACTGGATGCAATACTCCAGATGTGGCCTCACCAGTGCCGAATAGAAGGGAATAATCACTTCCCTCGATCTGCTGGCAATGCTCCTACTAATGCAGCCCAACATGCCGTTAGCGTTTTTGGCAACAAGGACACACTGCTGACTCATATCCAGCTTCTCGTCCACTGTAATCCCCAGGTCCTTTTCTGCAGGACTGCTGCTTAGCCGGGCGGTCCCCAGCCTGTACCCGTGCATGGGATTCTTCCACCCTAAATGCAGGACTCTGCACTTGTCCTTGTTGAACCTCATCAGATTTCTTTTGCCCCAATCCTCCTTGTATGGGCCTAGGAGACAGAACTCCTGGGTCTCTTCCTAGCTCAAGAGCTAATGGGTAGACCAGGAAGCTGGAATTTGGACATCTGGGTTCTCTTCCCAGGGCAGTGTTATCTAGTAGCTAGAGCTTGTGATTCCTGGCAAAGGACGTTCATGATTTCAAACTTTGTTTTCATTCCACTTACGAATGAAACCCAAAACTTTCAAAATTCTCTGTGGAAAAAATAATTTCAGGGGGAAAAAATCATATTGGGGCCGATGGAAATGTTTCATTTCGAAAAAAGGTGTTTCATTTCAATTGCTGCTTCAACAACGTTATCTTGCGTTACAACACGCACCCACCATAACACAAAATACAAATTTCAAAAAGCGAAGTCATTTTGAAAAGAAAACGTGAACCATTTCGCTCCGAAAATGTTAAAAATGAGACATTGTCGGAACTTTTTTCTTTTTATTCGAAGACAAAATTTCGGTGAATCCAAATGTTTCCGTTTCAAGGGAACCGCAGTGTCCAGTGGAAAAAGGGTCAGTTGGAGTTTTTCCATTTCATTCTTCTCTTGAGTTCTATCCTCAACTCAGGGAGGGAGGCTGGGAGTCAGGACTCCTGGGCTCTCTTCTCAGTTCTAGGAGGAGCGTATTACCTAGGGGTGAGAGCACAGGATTGGGACTCAGGGAACGAACCCAGAAGCCCTGCTCTGGGAATATACTCAAGTTATCTGAGCACGTCTCTTGGGGCGTGTTCCTAACTTTGAGAGCATGGTCTAGAGGTCTGAGTACTAGACCGGGAATCCAGTGGTTTGCTTGCTAGTCCCATCTCAGCCATTGACTTGCTGTGTGATATGGTCAAGTCACCTCCGCTCTGTGCCTCAGTTTCCCCAGCTGTGAAATGGGGCAATGATACTTAAGAAAAGCGTTTTGATATCTTTGGCTAAGACGCACCAATGTAACTGCCACGTAGTGTTACTGGGGGTATTTTCTTGCCTGAGTAAAGAGAAGGTTTTGTGGATATAGCCAGCGCTAAGGGAAACAGGGGATAATAATGTACAAGGGAGGGCATACTGCTGGGAGATCCTGGTGCCGTAAAGCTACGTGCTCAGGGGGTGGATTTCTGCCCTGGGAAGGGGAGGCTGAGTGGAGTTGGAGCCCAGAAGTCTGTGATCATATTTCATCCAGGATGTTTTTCATCATCGGGGCTTATTTCTGAGGCCGCTTTCTCAACAGCAGAGCCCATAGACCGGTAGACGCTGTGCCCAGCTGCTTACGATGTGGCTAGTCTATGTGGGGATTTCCCAACGTAGATGACGCCTGAGATGCGAGCTCTGCGTGCCCGGGAGGGCTGGACAGAGTGCTGAGTAGGGAGAGCTCAAGGAAAGCTTTGTGGGGCTGCAAGAGGGCAGGTGACAGGATGATGGAGGCAGTCCATGGAGATATACATGCAGCGAGGTAGATGGCTCTCGCCAGCGGCTCAGCCGTCCGGCCTGCAGAGGGGTTCAGATCTGGAAGCCGGGTCGGGCCCTCCGTGCTTCCCTGGGCCACACGGTTGTCCCAGTTTTCCTCTGCTGTTCCGCCAGGAGCCCTGAGATTCGCAGGAGCGTGGAGGAGGGAACCAATTCTGAGACCGCCCCGTCTGCAAAGCCGGGAGGGGACCGGGATGACGTCACTGCTGGAGCAACAAGCCGGCTCGTGCCCATGCGACTGGGGAAACTGACAAAACATAGAGAGTTTCACTTGGGAAAAGTGCTGAGTCAGGCACGGCCAGAGCGTTTCCCCAGAGCCGCTCTCAGAGGAGGGGAACGGAAGGGGCTTGCCCAAGGGGCAGGATGGGTGGTGGGCTCAACCGCAGCCTCGAGCCTCAGGAGACTTGGGTTCTATTCCTGGCACTGCTGCGTGACCTTTGGCATGTCCGTGCCTCAGTTTCCCCATCTGTAAAATGGGGGCTGAGGCTGACTTCCTTTGATATAAAAAGTGCCATGTGCATGTTAGGAGATATCAATGCTGGTTAATATGAATTCCTGCTACCGCCGTGCCAGCATTCCCTCGGAGATGCCAGCGTCAGAGATGGGCTGCCTGGGAGCAGGAAGCCCTGGGAGAGGCAAGGAGGCGAACGACCTTTCTGGCCTGGTGGGGCTTCT